AAGAAGTTATCTGACTCTCAAGATCACAAAATTAGTCATGGGAATTAAAAGCCATATACATACTAATGCCATACATATATACACAGGTATTTAGATATTTACTAGCCCTACTGTGTGCTCAACAGGAGCTAAACTCTGGGATTCTGTGATGGACAAGACAGGTATGGTTGCTTCACTTACAGAATGCAGACTACTTTGAAACCCAAGGTCCAACACGAGTCCTAGAAGTTGAGTCTTTCCCCCTTCAGTCAGTGAGGGAATGCTGTGGGCTCTTGGGCAAGTGTTCATTATCTGCTCTATGCTCAGTGCTTCTGGCACAGAAGAACAGCATGGTACAGCCCTGCATGAAGGACCGCCTATCTGGTAGAAATCAGCACTGATATCCTCCTGGGAGGGGAATGTCAGCAGGTTCATAGTTAGGCTCTAGGTGGTATAGTGCTGGCTTTAAAAAAAGCTTAGCTGATTGTGGTTCCGTTTCTTCAACTGTAAATGGGCAGCATAATGGCAACTTTCCTCACATATTTTCTGTGAAGATGAAATGAGCTAATGCATGCTGAATAACAGTTTATGGCACAGAGGTAATGGTGATAAAGGATCATCGTTACCACCATCATCATTGCCACCATCACTCAGTGCTGGAGTGGTTAGGGAAGCCTTGCCAGATGAAGGGACTAGAGGTGGGAAGACAGGAGTGGCAACACGATGAAAGCAGTGGGCAAGAACATGCTGACATGACTAAGAGAAGGAGTGAAATTTTTAGCAAAAATGAGGTTTCTGTGATTTACATCAAGACAAAGCAAGCATGAATGTATAGGTGGCTCTAGCCCTGAGAGACACATTCTCCTCTACCCACTTCTCATTCTAGGAGCCCTCTTACTTGCTGGAGCTTTGTTGGGCTACCCTGGGCTACTTGGGGATTATGAGCTACATGACTCACTTAGAACTCTCCTTCTTAGAGTATGGTAACCAAAGTTAAGACGTCTATATATCAGGCTGGAGAGGTGGCTCAGAAGGTAAGAGCATTGGCTGCTCTTGCAGAGGACCAGGGTTCAGTTCCCAGATCCAGAGGATCCAATGGCGTCTTCTAGCCTCTGTGGGCATTGTATGACATGGGTGTGCTTGCATATATACAGGCAAAAATTTAAAATAATTATTAAAAACTTATTCATGTCATAGATCATAACATAGAATTGGCCGGTGCTTCTTGTTGTTGTTGCCTTGAAGATAAAAACAGCAAAACCCCAGACTGCAAGGGGATAACACACTTATTTTATTGTTAAAGGTATTCTACCACTCCCAGTCTGCTAAAGGTATTTTAATAGAAACACCAGAGAATCACTCTTCCTGGGAGGGGCATTTGTGTTCTTACCACTAGTGCACAGCCTCTTCACTTGGTTGTACCCCAATAACCTCAGAGTAGTTACAGAACTTTCCATGGCTTAGGACACATAAGACAAACCAACTTTTCCCCAGCACCCTGGACAAGCCAGGTGCACTGCGAGCAGCTTGGCCATCTGTTGCCAATGTCAGGGGTTTAATCAGACAATGAGTTCCAAACCAGATGCATTGAGGTTTATAAACACTCAGAGATATGCCTGACAGGCCAATACCTAGGTCTATAAAGTTTAAGAGTTCCCTATTCTGTCTCCATCTTGGGTTGACACAAGTACTGTCTGCCTGGCTTTGTGCCCATCAACAGAGAGACAGATCTTTTACTCTGAGGGCTTGAGAATCTGGAAGGTGGACAGGAATCAGTATCTTGATCTTATTCACACAGTGGTACTTCCTTTTAGGTAAACCTACAGGACAGTTTATATGTTGGCACCAAAATGTTAACTCTACAGCTGGATGGACTCATTGGGAGGGTCTCTCAAAATTCTCAAACATTACATCACCTGAGAGATTTCAAACACCCTTGTGCCTGGACTGCAATTAAATCAGAAATCTCTGGGAAGCTCAAGAAGTCGTATTTCTAGAAATCCCCAGAGGACTCCACTGTGCCAGCAAGTTTAAGAACCACTAGTCTAGCTTCTGTAGTGCCTCCCAGGATGGTAGTGGACTTTGAGCTCGTGGCTAGGGCTCACTGATTGGCCTACTTTGGGAGGAGATTCATTCAATCTGTAGGTCAGGTGTTGTCTAGCAGGCTCAGTGTGGGCAGCAGCCATCTTAATCTGGCACTGACTTTCTGTGGGTTGGGGTTCACAGCGTTGGCCACACACAGGTAGAGTTTACCTGCCCATCAGGAGGGCCAGACTTTCCTAGTGGTGAGGTCAGAGCTGCTATCTTCTGTTCCTGCCTAGAGGTGGAAGGTACCTGTGGCCACTTACGTCATTTCCTAGGCTGGGGAAGGGAGAGAATAGATGGTTTTATGTGATAAAGAAAAGTAGACCAGGAAGAAGAAGAAACCTAAGGCCAAGGCAGCTGTGACTCACTGTGGTCCAAAGTAGTAGAGACAGGCTTTCAGCAGCCACAACATAGCTGCTTTTTCAACAAGGAAATGGCTGGAGGTGGACTGGAAACAGGTATTCCAGAGGCTTCTAGAGTTTTCTATCACTGAACTCTTTTGTAGGTATGAGAATGCCCTTAATGTCCCAGGAGTGATAACCTGCCTGTCTCAGATATGGGAAAAATGGAACATAAAACAGCAGCGAGACAGCTACTCATTCTGATGGGAAGCTCCCAGAGAGAAGGCAGGGTGGGCCGTAGTTAGGTACATCTGGTTCATAGAGATGTGTACAGCTTGTGGAGACTGGGAATGGAAAGCCTCAGATGCTAAGACAAATGAGAGGTTCCATTTTGAGACTCCTTACATTAATGAGTCAGCAGTAAATGAAGACAATCCATGAGGCTCCATGGCTTGTTACTTTCTTCAGGCAAACAGGAAATGTCCCAGCAACTGTTTCCCTCGGTGTTCTTCAGCAGAATCAAGGGCCAATACAGAGATCTAAGAAGGTATTCTGGTAGGTCCTTGCATCTTATCAGCTGCCTCCTTGCTGTTTTTGGATAGGTAACACAGACCCACTGGGTTCTGAGGTCCCTAGAGCCTGACCCACTGATCAAGCCAGCTTAGATGTGTGTCAGATCTTGTTTAGCAGCTGTTCATCCAGCCCTGCAATGTTGAAATTCAGGGACCATTATGGGAGTGGTGGAATGCTGATTCCTACAGCAGAAAGGCTGCCCTAGGGTGACCACATGGTGAATTGAGAAGAATCTGGGTTCCAAGCCTAGAAGGACTTCATTCCAGTTTCTGCTTGGGCACTTACTAGCAACAGGACACAGGCACTTTTTTGTTATCTCACAATAGAATATAGGTACTATGTAAGAGAAGGCATATGAAACACCCAACACTGCTATCACTACCACGAACTCTGGGTGAAGACTGCAGAGGGAGCAGGCCATGGAAAGATGCTGATGAAGGGATGTTGCCTCACCTCTGTAGAGAGCTGGGGTGGTGGAGCCACACAGACCTGGTCATGCCCACTCCTCCTGGCAGTCATGGAGTCTGCTATTTCATATATTCTCTGGGATTGGAAAGTGGGAGGGGGAAGCACTAGTATACTGTTAGTGATGAGTCCCACAGATGGGTTTGTTGAAGGGGGGTCAAGGGCAAGCTCTGTTGGTGGATGCCTTGCTGTGCCTCACTCGTGGTAGTGATGGTGTAACGTGGGGTCGCTTATAAAATTCCCAACCCATAGGCAGGTGTCAAATGGTGTTAAAGTAATTCCTCTCTGAGCACTGGTTCCTTTGTGTGCCAGAGGTGACTCCAGACCTGCCCTAAGTCTGTTGGATTTCAAAGGTCAGATAAATTCTGGGTGAATTTTCACCCACCAGCACTTGTACTCCCAGCCACTCAAGGGTAGCATGAAGACAAACTGGGAAGTGACAGTGAGCTTGAGAGAAATCCAGAAAATTGACTGATCAGAGTCCACCGTGACCACAGTGTGAAGAACACTGACCTCCACCTCTTCAACTTCATTCTTCCCTGTTCTCCTGAGGACTGGGGAGGGCGCATCAGGTGAAGGTATGAGGAATCGTGATACCCATAGGAGGAACGCAACAGGACAGGTTTTCTGGTTAGTTCTGCATATTCTGATGAGGGCATTAGGCAAATTGGCAAATGCCTTATTTTTGGTAGTCTCACCTAGAAAATGGGGGTAGTGAGGGGCTGGAGAGATGGCTCAGGGGTTCAGAACACTGGCTGTTCTTGTAGAAGACCCAGGTTTGAATCCCAGCACCCACATGGCAGCTAACAACTGTCCATAACTCCAGTTCCAAGGGATCCAATAGCCTCTTCTGTCCTCTGCGGGCACTGCACGACACGGGTGCACTTACTTACATGCAGGCATAACACTCATAAAATAAAAATAATAAATTTTTTAAAAATGGGGGTAGTAAGTCATCCCACAGCTTGGGTCTGTGAGAATGAACAGAATGGGATGTGTGCTGAGTGCTTGGGAGAAAAGAGGTGCTCAGAAAATGCTAGGTGTCCTCTATTCCTACTAGTTCATTCAGTCACTGGACAAATGGATTTTAACATGCTATGAACAAAGCATGCTGGCTAGTGACATGGGTCTGAACTGGCGCTCATGTGCTCTTGTTCCCTGGTCCTGAGAGAATTACTCTTGTTCTTGTCAGCCTAAGCTGGCAGCATCTATCACAGCTCTTTCCAACTTTATTGTTACTTCCTTGAGGAGACAGACCATGGCTTAATTTCTTTCTATCTATGAGCATCTTTTCCATAGCAACCCTCTGTAAGCACATGCAGCTCTGTCCACGCACCAAGTTCATAGTGTTGAGCACTTTCAAACTGGTCTCTCAACCAGTCTGGGGGTGGGTATCATTCCCACTTCACAGGTGAGGAAGCCTCATGTTTAGGAATATTTGGGTGGCTAGCCTCTTATTATTCTCATGTTGATGCTCACTTCTTAGAGAGGCTTTTAGGAGGCATGCTTGCTGCCCTTTCTATCCTAAGAACCACTGTACACTTATGTCTGCTCCAGAGCATCTGTAGGGCAGTGGAGGAGACACAGCGCCCACCCACACTACAGGAGATCAAGCAGAAGATTGACAGCTACAACAGCCGGGAGAAGCACTGCCTGGGCATGAAGCTGGTAAGCAGGGCCCGTCCACCCTCTATCCAGTATCCCTGTGTCCACTTGTAGCCTGGCTTTCTACTCTCCACAGAAGTAGTGCCACCTTGCAGCCCACTCTCCTTTTTCAGGGCACAGCTTTCAGTGGCCTTAGGGATCCAGAGAAATAGAATGGTTCCAGAATAGGCTCCAGATCCCATTTCTGTTCCATTCACTTTTTCTCTGGTGACTTTGGGAAAGTTTCTTAACCTCTGCTTACTTCATCCAAGCCCATATATGAGATGTTTAAGGAATTAAATGGCAGTGACCAAGGATTTGGGGGCTTAGCCCTCAAGAAGCTCTTGGCCAGGGGAATTCACAACTCCTGTTCCTGCTCCTCAGAATACAGTGCTCATATAGGTGAGGGCCCCTGACCTTGCACAGGTTCAGAGAGGTGGTCTTCAGGAGTGAAGCTAAAAGAATCCTGCTCCCTGCTGAGCAGACTGACGGTAACTGGCTTTGGGGACTTCAAGTCAGATAGCTGTCCTCTGTGAAAAGCCCAGATTTAAATCATAAAGACTATAGGTTCTTTGGGCCAGATTTGAGGTTGTTACAGCCTGTCCTAGTTTGTCTCTCCATTGCTGTGACAAAACACTCTGCCCAATACCAACTTGGGGAGGAAAAGGTTTATTCGGCTTACATCTCCCAGGTCACAGTTCATCAGGGAGCCCACGGTAGGAACTCAGGGCAGGAACCTGGAGGCAGGAGCTGGAGCACAGGCCATGGAGGATCACTGCTTACTGACTTGCTTCCCTGGCCCCTGCTCAGCCTGCTTTCTTATCCAACACAGGCCCACCTGCCCAGGGGTGGCACTACCCACAGTGGGCTGGGCCCTCCCACATCACTCAACAGTCAAGAAGGAGCCCCATGGACATGGCCACAGGCCAGTCCAATGGAAGCAATTCCTCAATTGAGGCTCCCTCAACCCAGGTGTGTCAAGTTGACACTAAAGCTCTCCAGCACACAGCCCCTCCCTAGTGCAGAGATAGAGAGGTGACTGCAGACCCTCTCTTTTAAAGTGAGAACTCACCAGAGGCCATTGGTACCTGCCTGGTAGGTTTGGGGCAGCCTAAGCCTCCTGTAAAAGAGAAACCATGGAAGCCCTACCAGTCTGTGCCTCCTTCTGGCCCATAAGGAGAGTAGGGTGTTTGTATCTCTAGTATCTCTGAGTTAGCAGACTCGGGGAAGAACTCAGAGAGGCTAGCAGGGATGGCCCTCTTAGGGCCTCTGTAGTCTGTGGCCCAGAGTGGCAGACAGACCTCCCACTTGCAGAGTGAAGATGGCACCTACACGGGTTTCATCAAAGTACACTTGAAACTTCGAAGGCCAGTGACGGTGCCTGCTGGGATCAGGCCCCAGTCAATCTATGATGCCATCAAGGAAGTTAACCTGGCAGCCACCACAGACAAGCGGACATCCTTCTACCTGCCACTTGATGCCATCAAGCAGCTACACATCAGCAGCACCACTACAGTCAGCGAGGTCATCCAGGGTCTGCTTAAGAAGTTCATGGTCGTGGACAACCCCCAGAAGTTTGCACTTTTTAAGCAGATTCACAAAGATGGACAAGGTATGAGCTACCAACTTTCTCTAGTCTGTCCATACTCATATTCTGTGACTAAATCCCCTGCTAGCCCTGGGTAGGAGGTATGGGCTTCCGGGCAGCAAGGCTGTAGCCATCCACATAGCATTCAAATCCCTGGAAAAGCCAAGCAGTGATCTGGGCAGGAAGACGAGCAGAGAGCCTGACCAGGCAACTTATGCCTACCACTGTGCTCGGGCCCATGCATGCAGAAGAAAGATGCACCCAGGGCTCCCATCCCCTAATCTGTGTAATGAGGAGGAGTTCACCTATCACTTCTTGTTTTTTGGAAGATGATGTGAATGGAAACATACTTTAAATTCTGAACAGACACCTGAGATAAAGTTTACTGATTAAAAAAAAAAAATTCTTTGAGCTTTGCTGTACTGGAAATAGAAGCAGGGCCTTTTGCATGCCAGACCAATGCTCTACCACTGAGCTACCACTGTTCATGCCATTAGTTAAAGAACTGTATGTCCACTTCTAGTTATATGCCTCAACCCCTGCATTTCCAAGCTTACCCCACCAGTCTTGTACTTACTGAGATGTGCACTCAGCCCCCTCCTAACCCCCACTTCTCGGTTTGTAGTACTCTTCCAGAAACTCTCCATTGCGGACTGCCCTCTCTACCTACGTTTGCTTGCTGGGCCCGACACAGATGTCCTCAGCTTTGTGCTAAAGGAGAATGAAACTGGAGAGGTGGAGGTAGGTCTGGGCCCTTTGTTCAAACTTGGGCCTGGGGGTGTGAATAGACTCAACTGGGTGTGTAAGATGGTTGTTTTCCTAACTGCACAGTGGAGGTGGGGCCACACCATATAATAGCAGCAGGGGGACTGTGGAGAGCTGAGCTACCGTAGGTAGGATCAGAGGCTGTGTTTAACCTAGGGTTGTTGGCGCCCCCAAGGCAAGCATGTCACAGCCTGTGTAGGGCAGAACTTGTGGAAAGGATCTCATCTGCTTTGTTTCTGAAAACTGGGAGGAGGTAGGAGTTGAGGAGTGGAGATACACTGAAAAACTCCTTGTTCAGGACCAGGCTGTTTTTGCTCCAAGACAGCCTAAGGCCCAGCAAGCTTTAACTCTGGGTTCCACTTGGCATAGACATTTTTAACCTCTTGTGTCTCTTAAAATAAATTCCTTCTGGGGGGGGGAGTACACGAAGTTGTCAGGAAAAAGTGATGGGGAGATATGGGAGGAGTTGGAGGGGGGAGAGGGCGTGGATTTGATCAAAACACCTTATATGCATGTATGAAGTTCTCAATATTGTATTTTAAAAGTAAAAAACAAAAACAAAAATGGGGGTAATTGCCCTTGCATGAGCAATTGCTAGCTTATTACATTGCTTACTCTCTGAATATTGTTCAGTGTTCAGACACTAAGTAGCAGTCTTATTAAGACTGCCAAAATGTTCCTATAGTTCCTATTTAACACCTTCTGCACAGTGATCTCCAATATGTAAATCAAATCTTGAAGACCTCATAAACATTGGCCCTGAGATTACTTTAAAAAAATCAGGCTGGTAATTCTCCTGGCCTGGGCTACTTGGGGGGGGGGGTGGCCTTTAAGGAGTGACTTAGAGCAGTAGGGCCTCAGTGTTTGTCACACTGTGCAGTGGAGGCTAAATGTGAGCAGACCTGGGTGTGGCTGGAGATTTGAAGATCTGGTCAAACAGGGCGCTACCCTCATTTCAACCACAACAGCTTGGCGTCTATGTGCTTTATCTGTTTGAGTCTACAGAAGAGTTTGTTAGGAAAAAGAATGCCACTGAAAACTGAATGCTGCTGGCCCTGGAAGTTTGAAGACCTGGATTCTAGCTCTAGTTTGTACTCTCTTGTACCCACTACATGACTGTAGTTTTGCCACTTTCTCTCTCCGGACTTCAGGATTTCTCATTTACCCAATGTAGGGATTAAGCCAGAGATATTGTAATACTCCCTTGTGCTCAAAGAGTTTAGGAATGCAACTGTCATTCCTTCCCCCCGTGGGTTTTTTCCCTCCTGGGCAGGCTTGAGCCAGTTGGGCTGTCCAGAGTATACAGGTTATGCTAGTTCATCTGCTTACCAATCTCTAATCACCCAGGCAAAAGGTGGACTGAAGAGTGGAATGAGGTACCTGAGATCACACAGCTAGTGAGAGCTGTCTGGAGTCCAGGTCTAGGTGTCCTCCATCTCTCTAGAGAGTCTGCTTGTTGGGCATCTCCTGTGTCATAATAAAGACCTTGGCTGCAGTTGATTCTTGAAGTAAAAACAGAGCATAAGGGCTGGGCACTCTGGACCATGAGGCACCAGCTCGTTCAGTAGCAGTGTGTGTGGCTCACTGATGTAAACAGTAGAGGAGGCTGTGGTAGTGTCCTTGCATCATGTTAACTTCTAACCGTTTCCTCATTTTCCTTATCCCCACCCTCCAAAATCTGTTTCAGTGGGATGCTTTTTCCATTCCTGAACTTCAGAACTTCCTAACAATCCTGGAAAAAGAGGAACAGGACAAAATCCAACAAGTGCAAAAGAAGTACAACAAATTCCGACAGAAACTGGAAGAGGCAATAAGAGAGTCCCAGGGGAAGCCTGGGTAACCAACTTGCCTCCTCTCCTCCTAATGCCCTCAGATTTATTTTTATTGTTAATTATTTTGCAACAGACACTTTTTCTCAAGACACCTCTGGTTGAGTGTACTTGTGCCTGCCCTGCAGTTACAAAGTCTCTTCCACAGAAAAGTCTCTGTGCAGAGATTGACTCCTGCCCATCTATCATGCCATGCCCTCAACAGATTATGCCAGGGATCAGAAATCATGTGAAATGAACAGTGTTTTCCCCTCTCAATCTGCAAGCCCTTCACAAACCAAATAGTTGCCTCTCTGGTCACCAAACTGGAATCGATCACACCAGCTGGCAAAGAAGGGAAAAAAGGTTTAAGAGCTCTTCATTTTCTGACTTTTAATTCTTCAGTTTCTCTTCTTTGTCCTTTACAGCACCTTTATTTATGGGTCCTTGAAAGCAGGAGATGCTCATGAAAGGACTGCCCTCTCTTGCTAAGGTACCTGCTGTTCACCAGTCTCACAGAGGTCAACAGCCTATCCAGGCCCTGCCTCTTATCACCCAAGGGCTGTTGCACATGCAATACCTTCATTTGTGGGTTATTGTCACATCACTGTCAACAGCTGTTTTGTTTAAATTTTTGTTAAATTTTAAATTTAATATTGCTGTCACCCTTATGGATTTTTACCAAAAGGAAACCAGCTAGTTAACATTTTTAGTTTCCTACTGAGCCTTCAAAGGTGTTACAGAGAAGTGCATCCAAGCTGTCTACAGCCTTTCCCCAAATAGAGAGCAGTGGGCCTGGGCTGCTTGGCCTCAACTCTGTCTCCCTCTTCCCACTGGGGCTTTAGGATCTACAGCAGTTGCCTATGGCCTTGATTAAGGAGGTGGGGCCCTCCAACTCAGCCAACTTGGAGTCCTTTGTGTGGTGAAGCTTATCAGCTTGCAGCACAACATTCAGCGAACACAGAGGCCTGGCCTTCCTGGTGACTTCAGTGCCTTTTTGTTTTGAGAGCGAGAACAGGGCACTTTTGCTTGAAGCTGTCCTGTTGACTTGCTCCTAGCAAGAAGTGGATAATGGTGGTATAAGAGACAAGACCAGAGGAGTCTTCAATCAAATTATAGGGTGACAATCATACATCTCTTTTTCATCTAGGTTCCTGGGCTCTGACTTCCAAGATACAGTGTTAGGCCACATGAAAAGGGAGTATCAGATTATGACTCTGAACCTTTATACTGGGGTTCCTTGTTCAGGTTCAAACTTAAATTAGCCAGACAATGTCAACAGGACTTCAAAGACAATGCAGAGGGAGGAAAACTTGTCCCTTTCAAAACAGGGCTGGTGTTCCAATCTAGCCTTGAGGAAAGTCCACTTCCTTGCTGCCCTGCCTTTCCAGGTCCCTCAGGATGTTTTGAATCCAAGTTGCTCCACGTGGCCTCAAAGGTTTTCTCCCCAACCCAGGCTGAGTCTACACTGCTTCTATCCTGAGGAAGGTGACTCCTTGTCATTCAAATCTGCAACCTCTTCAGAGCTGCAAGTGACATGCGTTAGCAACTCTAAGGCCATGTATACCATAAAACCCCTTATCACTTCCCTCCTATAACAAGCCCCTCTTTCTGCTGTGTATTACAGAAACAGTTGGGAAATCATCTCCCTTCATCCTGCATGTCTGCAGCATTAGGAGAAGGCATGACTCCTGCTGCAACACTGTGAATGCTGCTGAGAACCTCCCTCATGGCTTTTATTTTTTGAGAAGAAAAAAAATGTCATATATATACACACACACACACATATATGTATATATACATAGAAGCATATAACTATATATAAAGAAGGGTGTTTATGAATTCAGAAAATTATGGTAAAATTCAGGCTTTAAAGCACAGTTAGACCCAGGATCTATACTGAAGTTGGCCTCTGGAAAGTATGTGTAGACTCCCTTCCATCCCAGAGGTGGGTGTAACTGCTGGTAGTGCCTTCTATGTTGTACTTCTATGCGTGTTTGTTTTGAAGATATTTTCTTTCTAAATGTTTCTTATATGAGTTTTTAAAAAAAGTAATAAAAGGTTATTGTAAAAATGACTCACAATGGAAACATCTTCCTTGAACTTCATTCACCATCTTACAGAAATTGGGCTGGAAGAGAGGGAACCAAGGCAACTATACATTTCTTGGAAGAGCCAAATTATCATCTCCCAGTGAGCATGGGAATGAAGGCTTCCATTAAAAGGTTCTTGAGAAAACTGTCCAAGTGGGGGCTGTCCTGGCCATCGACTTTTCTCTACCTCCCCAGGGCTAGAGAGGAGATGGGCTTATGGTAAAAGCAAGTGTGTAGAAAAGAATAGGTGCTTTCTGGCACTGAAAACTAGGGCTTGCTACCAAGGTAAGCAACACTTCTATTCTGGATTTAAAACTAAAGTAGATGTAAATGTGTCTTTGATCATTATGTCTCGAGAGAGGGTTAAATTACCAAAACAGCCCTCTTATTTTGGCACCCTTTGACTTCTAGCAAAGAAATATCTGTAACATCATAAAAACTACTGGGGAAGTCACTGCCTGCCTTCCAGTGCTGCTCGTGTATCATGCAATGCATGGGGGCCCTCGGGCTGCAGGGGCTCTTCAGAGCTCATCTAGTTCAGCCCCTCTCCACCAGACATCCTTAAAATTAGCCAATCACGGGGCTGGTGAGGTGGCTCAGTGGGTAAAGGTGCTTGACACCAAACCTGTCAACCTAAGTTTGATCTCCAGAACCCACACCCTGGAAGGAAAGACTCCTGCAAGTTGTCCTCTGACCTCTATACATGTATATACGCTCACACACACACACAAAATTAGCCAATCACTACGCATCTCTAACATCTGTCCACCTATAGCTCCAAAAGGAATATTTCTTAACGATTTTGTCAAAGCATGGAAATGAGCAGTTTCTGCTTTTCACTGAACTCATTTCATTGCAGCATGGCATTAGTAAGTTCAAATTAGGATATGAGAAAGAATCCATTCCACAACCTGAATCTTCTCTACCATCTTACACATTCCCATGCCATTCACAGGGGAGAAGAGAAGATGACTCTGCAAATGTATCACCATTAGTGGATAAACATCCCAAGCACAGGCTTCATCAGCACACCAGCATAGCAGAGTTCTGGGTTGAACTACACTGAAGAACAGATGACCAGTACAGGCTTTGTCTCTAGCAGGGACTAACATGTCATAACCTCTACAGTTCTAATCACCCCAAGATCATGCAAAACAGACCAGGCCTGTGAAGGAATGCTGTGTAGTGCTGCATGTTTTCTGTATTCATGATTCTCTTAGAACTGTGCGTACATACCGTACCCTCTCAGAATCAGACACTGCCTGTGCAAAGGCTTTGTTGTAATAGGATCCTGCTAGGGCAACTTCTGGAGAGCACTTCCAGGTTCCAATGCTTAGGCTATTAAGAGACAGGATAAGCTCGATTAAGAAGCTGACTTCCCAGTGAAAGGGTGTGTTCTAGGCCTCACACTGAGAAGTAGTTGTCACATACAGATTTTCACACCAATTCCTTTCCAAGTCTAAAACAGGTAATTTGGTGGGCAGTGTGGATATGGGCAAGTCTCTTGTATCTCAGCTTTTAAAAAGGGAGATGAGAAAAAAACAATTATTATTTCTTAATGGTAAACTCTAAACGCTCTTAAGGAATCTGTACCTGCACAGCTCTTATTCCTATTATTCATGGAGCGCTCTAGACACAGAAGTGACTTCTGCAAACCAAGGAGTAAAGAGTGATGGTGTTCAACATTTCTAGCATCCAGTGGCACCCCACCCCCAAACTTTGTAATAGGGCAAAAACAAAGTGCTATCTATTTCAGGGAGTTCCTGAATCCTCTGAAGACTCCTTCCATGAACCCCAGGTTAAGGAGTTTCAGATAAAGAAGACATTTCTTGTCTAAGACTCTTCACTATAACAAACCTTGGAGTTACACCACAAATTAGCCATTAGTGGCAGAATGCTACAGTTGAGAAAGAAGTATAGTCATATAGAGGCCCATGTTCTATTGTGTTTTTATTGTTCTTATATCTACTGCCCTAAATTCTGGGGCAGCTTAGAGTCTGGGTTTTTTTTTTTGGTCTTTTTGAGACAGGATCTCCCTGTAGCCCTAGCTGGCATGGACTTACTATGGAGATCAGGCTGGCCTTGATCTCACAGAGATCCACCTGCCTCTGCCTCCCAAGTGTTGGGATTAAAAGGCCTTTTTCACCACATCAGGCGCAATTCTTTCTTTTGTTGCCTTGATTGATGGCAAAGAACAGCCAGGCTCTACTTCTATGGGACTAACTCTATAGAAAGACTATTCTATTTTGATTTCTGTTGCTGTGATAAAACACTGAGCAAAACCAACTCGGGGAGAAAAGGGTTTATTTGGTTTACAGGTCACAGTCTATCATGGAGGGAAGCCATGGCAGGAAGTGAAGCAGAGACCATGGAGGAATGCTGCCCTGGCTTGATGAGCTACCTTTCTGATATAGTCTAGGCCCACCTGCCCAGGGATGACACTACCAATAGTGCCTGGATCCTCCTTCATCAATTAGCAATTAAGAAAATGCCTCATAGACATGGTCACAGGCCAATCTGATGGAGGAAATTCTTCAAATGAGAGTCCCTCTTCCCAAGTGTGTCTAAGTTTGTGTCAGGTTGACAATAACTATGACAGACATGAAGGGACTGACTGAGTCTAAGAGGTTAATTAGGTGGTAGGAGCAATGAACAGGAAGCTGTGGAATATTTGGTAGAGGGGCTTTACAAACAGGAAGGCATTCTACCTGCCTACACTTTAAATGGGCTGCCCTTCCTCTTAACACAAGGGAAGAACTAAAGCACTGAAACCATGAAAGTTTCACTAAGGGAAGAAAATAAGAGAATCAGATTTAGATTAGAATAAAAGCTTGTGGTAAAGAATTACATTTTTTATTTGCAAAAGCTAAAAATGCTCATATAAATTACCGGCTCAGACCCTGGGTTTCCATGGAATCCACTGCATGAAATGAGTGTCACTTCTTCTTGCCAGGTTTGGGGGCCTTTTCTAGGCCTTGGATGTGTTTTCGAGGGAGTCGATAATCTTCTACAATCCAGAAAGAAAATCCTCAGCGGAGCATGGTCTCCTGCCCTTCCCCACTTCCCACATCCCATGGGCCCCTGTAATCCCTCCCTGCCCCCTAAAACCAGGTGTTCTTTCCTGCTCTCCAGGATTCCCAGCATGTGACCTGTTTTTCTATACCCTGGTCAAGCTCATATTCTGGGGCTGCCTCCTGGGATGGAACATTTACCACCACATTTTGTGGCTGAACAGCATAATTTGTTCATTTATACCCTGCCAGCTACCATCTAGATGAACTGGAATCATTCCTGGGAGAAAAAGTATGTGTCTGTGTTCAGGTATGTAGCCATCTATCTTACCCGCCCCCCAAAAAAAAGAAAACATGGGGTTCTTTCCATAAAGGAGCTCAATTTTGGAAGTTAGTTGTTGTGGACTATCACAGACCATAAAATGCCTCTGTTTACTGAGCATATGCCAGTCTCTGAATATCAGAGAAACATGAAAAAGACAAGGTCTACCTCCAGTTCCATTCAGCAGAGGGTTCAGACATTAGCCAAGCGTCAGACACTAACCAGAAACATAAATACTACTGGGAAGAGCCACACTAGCAACTTTTAACACATTCCTCCAGGGAAATAGACATGATCCTTGAGTTGTTACCAATGAGCCTTTAAGGACAGGCAGTTTAGGGTTATGGGAGGGCACACAAGAAAAGGAGACAGCCAGGTTGAAGTGGGTAAATGTGATGTGCCTGGTGTATTTGGGAACAGCAGGAGACTTCCTAGGCTGGGATGCTTTAGGATGGGGTATGCGAGCTATGTAGAGCCTGGGGGAGTGGGGAGAAACAGGTCGAGCAGGGAGGAGCTTATTTATCTAGCTTAGGAGCTTATTCCTGAAGGCAATCACAAGACAAAAAGCCTTTTAGTGGGATTATATTTAGTTTAGAAAGATGACGGGCAGAACTATAGAGGAGAGTTTAAATTAAGGATAAAGTAGACTAGCTAGAAACCCCAAGAGTCAAAAGAACTTAAGCTGTGAAGAATAAATCTGAACCCAATTGCAGCATTCAGCATTCAGGAGTCAGGTAAACTCCAGGCAAGGTACTGAGCTGCTCTGGACCTTGATCTCATGTGCAAGAGGGGTAACAGTCCTGTAGCACAGCTATGACCAAGGAGATGCCCATAGAAGGGCCTGAAGAAGCCCAGTAGAGTGTCTGGCACAGCAGGAGGTATCTGTGAGAACAGTGATTCTGGAAACAGTGAAGATCTGGTTCAAACACTGATTTCATCTCTTGCTAACTGCTATAAACTAACTTGTGTGTCCATGCACACACATGAGTGCATAGATATTGCTCCTCAATTGGGATATACCCCTTAATATAACCATCCTAAACTGAAAATATGGTTAAACTGAGAAAGTATGTAATCCAGCTAACCTACAGAACACTGTAGCTCAGCAGCTCAGTACAACTAGGAGCAGCTGCCACTAACCAACATCTTTTAGAGGACATCTAGCTATATACCAGCTCAGGAAAAGTTCAAAATTCAAAACCTGAAGTTATGGTTTCTTTTGAATGTCTATCAGTTTTGTACCACTGTCAAAAGATGGTAGAGATGTGTAAGCAGGCCCAACTGAGTCAGTAGGAGATTTTTGCCAAGCTAGCCCAATGTTTCTGCTTTTCAGAGGGGATGCTCACCAAGCAATAGCTGGCCAAGGTGGTGGATCTGGTTTCCTTGGATCTGCACCTGCAGACTATCTTTGGCCCCGGGGGCAGGAGTGACAATGGTGCTGGCCTGGCATCGCTGCTGGAGAATGTCAGCCACTGAGCATGGATCTAGACCATAGGTCTCCAAGTTCCGGACCACAGTCACCTGGGGGACAGTAGGCTGATAGTGGGTGCTGATGGTATGCCCTCCTCTCCAGAGGGCTTTTCAGAGCCTTAGCAACCACCTCACCCATGTTCTCTGATGGTTCTCCATCCCTGTAACCCTGGTACCTTTTTGTCCAAATACCTTAAATGTATATATACGTGTGTGTGTGTGTATACATATATTTCATGTGTATGAATGCTTTGCCTGCATATATGTAAGTGTACCACATGTGCACAATGCCCACAGAGGCCAGAAGAGAATGTCAGATCCCCTGGAAATGGGAGTTACAGACCATTGTGAACCACAATGTGGGTGTTGGAAACCAAACATGAGTCCTCTGGAAGAGCAGCCCATGTTCTTAACCACTAAACGATCTTTCTAGTCCCCCAATACCATATATTTTGTGCTTCTAAAATGATATTCTCCATCTTATCCAATATATAGACACTCTCTATCCTACCTATAGCATATAATTTAAGTTTAAAGAAAAAAAAATGGGAATTTAAAAATACAAATTAAAGTACAATAGCATGATGGGCACCCATGTACCCATTACCAATTTCAACAATTATCAGTTCATAGGCAATCTCGATTTACCCCCCACCCCACCCATAAAAAAACCACACACACACACACACACAACTCCTGGCTTCTGCATTACTTTAAGTCAAATTCTCCTAAACTTCAGATCACTTAATCTGTTAATATATATCTCCAAAAGATAAGGACTTTTTAAAAAATAAAAAAACCATCTCAATATCTAAAAATAAATTTATAGACTGGTGAGATGGCTCATCAGGTAAAGATGCTTGCCACATAAGCCTGGCAACCTGAGTTCAATCCCTGGAAGCCACATAAAGATGGATGGAGAGAACCAATTCAGCAAAGTTTTCTCCTGACCTCCACATACGCACTGTAGCATGTGTGCTCCCCTCCCCAACCTCCATAAAAAATAGTAATAAATTTTTGGTTTGCAATAATTCCTTAATAAGTAGCCAGTGGCAACACAGGCACTTTCCCATTAGCTTTACTAATGAGAAGACTGTGACTCTGGGACAAAAAGGAAGGCATTAATACTTTTTTAAAAATCATAATCCTGAGCATGCATGTATAAAAATACCACAATGAAGGGCTGGATAGATGGCTTAGCAGTTAGGAGCACTGACTGCTCTTGCAGAGGACCTGGGTTCAATTCCTAGCACCCATATGGCAACTGACAACCATACCTAACTCTAGTTCCACAGGAATCTGACACTCATTTCTGACCTCCGTGGGCAATGCACAACACAGGTGCACTTAACATACATGCAGGCAATACACTCATACACGTAATAAAAAGTAAATATTTTTTAAAAATCATAAGCCTCTTTTTGCTTTGAAGCAACCTCTCTCATTCATGACTAGAGATATTAAAATATATTACTATCACGGTAGGTTGAAGAGGATTGCTGTCAACAGTGACTTTAAAAGCTGAAAAAGAAAAAAATCCTCATGCTTGCAAGGGTCTACAGACACAATCTTAGATTCCATGCGATCTTAGAGGTCACATAAGGAAGTCAATCTTTCCTGACATATGAGACCCTGGTTATATCTTTCCTGAACAAGTAATCACATAATCTTTGCTTGCAGACCTCCAAAAAACAATTTACCATTTTATGCAGCACCAACTTCAGTTTTGGACAGTTCTAATTGTTATCATAAAAGATTAGTGTTTAATATATACAAAATAGTTTAGCATAATATCCGGCATGTAATTGTTGCTAATTAAGGTTATCATTACTGGTTCTCATTTACTGAGTGCTTACTTGTTAAGTGCTTAACCTATGTACAGGCCTTCATTTGATCCTTGTAATCCCTGGCAGAGTAGGTATTCTCTCCATTTTTCACATAAGGAAACCAAAGCAAAGGAAGTTCAGTAACTTGCTCAAGGTCAAGAAATAAGAAAAAAAAAAAAAAAAAGTTACATTTGAATCCAGATCTAATTCCAAAGCCCAGGCTCAGAACCACAAACTATTTGAAAGTTCTCTATTTTGAACCCAAGGCCTGTCCTCTCATGTTTCCTACCCAATAATGTAACATCTATCTCCTCCAGGCAATAAGGGCATTCCTTTTGCAGAGGACAGCATTCCATGTATTTTAAAGGCAGATATAATTGTCCCCCATACTTTGTACTGTCAAACTAAAAATACTCAATTCCTTCAGCAATGTTTTTACAAGCTGCTTTCACTGAGCAAGGCCCAAGAGGCAGACTGTATAAGAGATGGAAACTTATAATGTAATACCAAGGGAAAAACAAAATTACAATGTTTACTTTTGGAAACAGACTGTAGCAAGTTTCTCAGCAGAAAATCCTAGAGGGCAGAAGGGGAATGGTTTAGCTTTACCTATTTATCCAGAGCCAGCCCAAACACACACAGGTATTTCATAAATAATCTTTTCAGTGCCTGAGGCCAATCTAAAAACTTCCAATCATATCAGGGAAACTACAATTTAGCAGGGAAATTAAATCATTCTCAAACACTGTTATCTTTCCTGGTGGTGCTAGAAATGGAACACAGGGCCTTAGCACATTAGGCAAGTGCTTACTACTAAGTCACACTCCTAGCCCTGATCTTTTAAAAATTACCTTTTTATTATAAGTCCTTTGTTCGAGCGTGATGTCAATTGGGCAAATTTTCCCTTTCTTCACAATGGGCTCCTGTCCAGGAAATGTCACTTGGTAGGCAGGCTGCAGATTTTCTAAACATCTGAAATGAGAGTTGGAGTGGGTAAATTCAACACAAAGTACCTCCCTGTACCCTGACACCACAGGCACTGAGTGTAAGGTTTTATAGTGTAGTGGTTTGCAAGCTGGCTACACAATAGAATCACTGAACTCATGTAGGGAGCTGAACCATACCAGTTAACTCAATGTCTCTGGCAAGGCATACATATCTTTCAAAGTGCCCCAAGATGCAACCAAGGCTGTTTCAGAGAAGGAACAATACTGACTTGAGTGCCTGGAAAATCTCTACTTGCTCAGCCTCCTGGAAAGCTGTTGTCTGCTTTGTGGAGATCACTACCTATTTCAAAAATGACCTTACTCAGATAGCTGCCTCCAAGTGCTGTTTCATATTACTGACATGTTTCAATAATGCATCTTTTATTTATTTTAATTTTTGTGTGTATGATGTGTATGCATGCATACATTGGTGTGTACATGCTTGTGTCTATGAATGTAGGAACTCTCATGCCACAGCATATGTGTGAAAGTCAGACAACAACCTCAGGAGTCAGTCCTCGCCTCTCACTCATTTGGTACAGGGTCTCTTTGTTCTTCAGTTGTGTACACTAGGCTAGGTGGCCCATGGGCTTCTGGGGATTCTTGTATCTCTCTCCCATCTAACTGTAGGAAGATGAGGATTACATAAGTGTGCTCTATACTTGGCTTTACCTGGGTTCTGGGGATTCAAATTCAGATACTCATGTTTATGAGGCAATTGCTTTGCCCAGTGAGCCACCCCCCTGCCAGCTCCTTGTAATAGTAATAATAATGATGATGATGATGATGATGATGATGATGCATCTTCTGTTGAACATCTTTACCTGATGGAATTTCTGCCTTTTATACAGCAAAATTTTCTCCTGGTATCATACACACCAGGATTGATAAACTTTTTCTGCAAAGGGCCATACAATAAAAACTTTAGGCTTTACTGGCAGGCTGGACTGTAACAACCATTCAACTCTATGTGAATCTCTGTGAGTTCCAAGTGGGGCTAGGAAGACCCTGTCTCCAAAAAAAAAAAAGAAAGAAAAAGAAAAGAAATTCACAGACTAAGACAGTGACAATTTTTGTGTATATGGGGGAGAGTAATGCGGTACGCTTGTATGGGTGTGTGCATGTGTATATGTGGAGTCCAGAAGTTAGCAATGGGTATCTTAATCAATTGTTCACCACCTTATTTTGTGAGACAGAGTCTCTTGCTAAACATGAAGGTCATCAATTCAGCTAGGCTGGCTGGCCAAGGTGCTCCAAGGATCCACCTGTCTCTTCCTCTAGTACTGAGGGTTCAGAAACATGTTACCAAACTCGGCTTGTATATGATTACTGGTGAGCTGAACTCAAATCCTCTTACTTGCACCACAGACTCTAGCCCAAAGACAGTGATAATTTTGAAGTTCACTGTAGTAGACATTAAGGGGGCAAGGGCAGGAAAGATGGATTGGGACTGCTGATCCCTGTTACCTGGTCAGGAGATTATCCCAAGGCAGCTTCATGACAGTGTGCTGTTCATTTTTCTCTAAGATGCAATCACATAAGACAGGATCCAATTTCACTAGACTAAAGAGAAAGAAGAGGCAAAAAAGAAATTTAAGACTCACCCCTCCCAACCCAAAGTGTCTCAGTATTTACCTCCTCTGTCTCCTTATAGCTTGATGATCCTCAGGACCACTCAGCCTGTGGGACCAGAGGCCATCAAGCTGTAAAACTCATTGACGGGAGGAGCAAAAAGGGAGAAGTAGATGATAGAAGAAAATGTAGGATGGAGTAAATCCCAAGACTAGGATTCTTGACTCAGCTCTGCTACTAACAATGTGAACATGGCTTTCTAGGCTTAGGTCCATAGTAGACTACCAAGGAAAAGAAGATAGGAAATAGTGATATACAAGCTATCTACCACAATTATTACACATGTATGCATGGATTGAGCTGTTACATAAGGCCACATGGATTCATAAAACTAAAGTAATAATTCAGGGTTGGAGGTGTAGTGGTAGAGTGCATACCTAGCCCCCAAGAAGCACTGGACTCTTATCTCCTACACCACAAAGTAAATAAATAATAATTTTAAATACATAAACATTGAGGCTGGAAAGATGGCTTGGCAGTTGAGAGCACTGGCTGCTCTTGCAGAAGACTCGGGTTCAGTTCCCAGCTCCCACATGGTGGCTAACAACTGTCTATAACTTCAGTTCTAGCGGATCCCTTGCTCTCCATGGGCACTGCATGTATGGGTGTACTTACATGTAGGCAAAACACTAATACACATAAAATAAGGTAAAAATAAAAATTTTTTTAAAAGTTTAAAAAATTAGGCACTAATTTGTAGGTCTCAATTTTTTGAAAATGTGTTAATCTAAGAAAGAAAAAAATTTAGTGGAACTTTCCTTATCTAGTAGCATACCATCTGTGTCCACTTACTAAGATAGTAATATCAAAAAGCCATAATGACTTTGGTTAGATTTTCTTTCAAGTTCACATTTTCCTGACATCAGTCATCTGCACTTGAAGGCTAGTGGTGGACATCCGTGAAATGTTTATTCAGCTTGTTGTCCATGCCAATAGCACTTAACGGATCTGAACCCCATAGCAAACAGCTACATGTGCACAACCCAGTCTGTAAACACTGGTCTTGCTCATTTATGAGCTGTTGTGATCATCTAGTTTCTATCCCAGAAGTCCTCCCAATACTTTGTTTCTTTCCTTCCTTCCTTCCAACAGCTTTTCTTTTTAAAATTTTTTCATATATTATTTATATTTTTAGGTTTTATTTACATATGTCTGGTATATGTGTGTTATGTGCCACGGTGCACATGTAGAGGTCAGAGGACAACTTGTGGGAGTTGATTCTCTCTACCATGTGGAATCCTGGGGATCAAACTCAGGTAGTCAGGCTTGGCAGCAAGTGCCTTTACCCACTGAGCCACGTTTCTGTCTGGTAGAGATGACCTGACGAGACACTTTGTTCTCTACGCCCACTTACTTTTTGTTGTTGGCATCAACCAGATTGTTTCTCTTGACATAGTCAATGATGATCACTCTGACCTCACTGCCCTCAAGGGTGCTTCCCTTCCTAGGAGAGAAGTGACCAGGAGTTATTTCAAGCTTTCCTAGGGGTCAAACCGAAAATACTCAGACTCCCTGCTCAGCAGGGTACTTTTCTTGGCCTTCAACATCTCTCTTCTCTTTTCCTGAAGGAGGCAAGCAGAACTATGTGAAACGTAACTACAGATAGAGTCCTACTCTCTCATTCACTGACACCAGAGAGACATCTCTAGAGAAGGAGGCTTGAAGCTGGATTTAGAAGAAAAGGAGATGGTGTAGAACAGGTTTTGCTAGTCATAGAAGAACACTACTTAGGATGAGAGAGAGGAGGTGCAGGAGGAACGCCATGCAGGCAGAGAAGGGCTATTTTTCAAAAACTCACTTGTGGCCAGACTCCTGGAAGAGCTGGGTCATGTTGGCTGGGACACAGTAGAAGAATTTTATATCTGGAGGGTGATAGGGTTGTTCCCTGCTACCCTCCTGGATAGTCTGGGAGGTTGGGGAAGGCTCAGGGATGATGAAAGATGTGATCCTAAAACCCGGCAGAAGGGGAAAAAAAGCATTTTATACTAATGCCTTGGCAGCCCTCAATCTGTGGCTCAGGTGCCCCAGGATGAACTGAATTGCAGTGACAGGCCCTGTACTTACCTAGGGTGCTTCCAGTTCACAGCCACAATGCTCTCTACTCCTTTGTTCAGCTCCTTCACCTGGACAATTTGTTCCTGCTGCATGTGCTGCAGGAACTTAGAAAGCTGGGGGAGAGAGGCCAGTATAAGGGACTTCACTGACTCCATACATTGAGTACCTAGGAGTGCCAGGCCTGGTGCAAGATGGGAACTAAAGAACTGTGATGCAGTTTCTGCTGTCATTAGACTAGCGACTGAAAGCGTGCACACACACACACGTGCACACACACGCAAATTGAGGAGCAAAAAGTTGCTAGAGATTAACTGGTAAGCCAGTCAGAACTCTTAACTGGATAGAAAGGGGGGGTAAGGGGAGAGAGGAGTGGGTACCTTGGCCCAAGAAGTTTCATTATTCCCCCCATTAGACCCAGAATCAAAAGGCTTAGTTCTAGCCTGAGCCTTGCAGACAGGGCTTCCCATGTTCATCCAGCTCCTATCAGATGTGTTCCTACACAACTCTGTGGATATGCAAAGTTAGGTACAGGCTCTTACCTTTTTATAGCTTGATTTCTTTATATCTAATTGTTGTCCTTCGGGGCTACGGCAGATAGAAATGGCAAATTAAACCAAAGTAGTTAGTGGTGGCACCTGCCTGACACAAACAAGAGGGACTTTTACTCAGCTGTCTCAACCCCCCTCTCTCACAGTCAAGGAAATGGACTCTCTGTCCATTTTTGTGAAGATGGGGTATCTCTGTGTGTGATGTCCAATATGGTAACCACTAGCCGTCCATGTGGCTACTAAATAATTAAAATGTACCTGCTGTGATCAGGGACCTAAATTTTAAATTTTATTTAGTTTTAGTTAATTTTAATTTAATTGGCCACATGTAACTAGTGGCTACTATAATTAGACATGCTTTAGATTCCTCTCAGATCAGAAAACCTGTGGCCTCAGTAAGTCCCACTTGAAGGGGGACCTTTCCAACAGCATGCTCATACTGACAGTAGCCATGCCTAAGTCAGAAAGCAGCAGATTGTACTCTGTACTCTAACTAATCCAGTTACACTCAGCACTTATTGTCTTTGGTCACATTAGTGCAGAATGGCAAAGAACCTGCAGCAGAGACCTTAAAGCCCCAAAAGCCCAAATCATTTACTATCTGGCTCTTTACAGAAGTTTGCTGACCCCCTGCTACCTCTTAGTAGGGTAGCTTTGGGTTAGAGGCTCCTAATGAAAGCTGTGGTCTTTCCCTTTCCTCAGAACTTATATCTTCTCTTAAAATATAATATTCAATAGCCATGGGATTATCAGGGAGACCTTCTTAGAACCCACTCCAATCTAACATATGCCCTAGAAAAAGTTCTTCCCAGTTACTTGCAACTCAGCAAAGTCAGGACAAATTACACACGTGCCCAGGATGCCATAAAGAAGGCCATGTGTCAGGGCTGGAGGGATGGCTCAGTGTAAGAGTGCTTAGTGCAGGCTAGGTGTGGTGATCATGCCTTTAATCCCAGCAGTTAGGACTCGGGAGGCAGAGGCAGGTGGACCGCTGTGAGACTAGGGCCAGCCTGGTCTACATAGCAAGTTCCAGGCAAGCTGAGACTACGGGGAGACCCTGTTGGGAGAAAAAAAAAAGTGCTTATTGCTCTCCCAGAGAACCCGAGTTTAGTCCCCAGCACCCATTTCAGGCAGCTCTCCAGCTCTAAGGACTCCAATACCCTCTATCTTCCATGGGCACCCGCACATGTCTGTCACACACACACACACACACACACACACACACACACACACACACACACACACACACATACACACACACACACACACAATTTAAAAATAAAAAAAAGATCATTTTTAGAAGGGAAGGGAAGAGATTAGAATAAAAACCATTTTCAAAAAACGCAGCAAATTCTTAGAAATAAATTTCCTGTCAGGAAAGGTTTCGCGCGTGCGTGTGTGTGTGTGTGTGTGTGTGTGTGTAGGGGGGTGGGTAGTTTGGTATGGTTCAGTTTTTTGATGCAGTCTCATGCCAGTTCTAGGGTGATCTGGAACTCACTCTATAGCCCATGCTGGCCTCAAATTCACCACTATCCTCCTACCTCAGCCTTTTAAGTGCTAGGATTTGCAGGTATGAGCCACCATATCTGGCTATGGGGTATGCTGAGAAGATACCTTACCAATTGGTATATGCCAGGCTATGCAATTTTATAGCAATCCTAGGAGTATTGGAAATAGGGCTCAGAAAACCCAGGTGACTAGCTGAAATTTGTCTTGGTCAAATATCCTAAGGAGGTGGCAGCTAAACCCAGATGGCTCTGTCTTCAAAGTCAAGATCCAAGCCACATGTAACACTACCTTATATAGTGGCTATGTTTTGAGTGGGGTAGGCTCACACTTACTGATGTAGCTTAAACTGATCCACTTTTCTTAACTGGGAAGGTGGCACATTACAGAAAACCCTCTTTATAAAGGCTGTCCAGAGACTCTTTCAGTACTTATGGTACCATAACAAAGTATTCACAAAGACAGCCCAGAAACACCACAGCAGAATGAACATCCAGAGAATTTTGTGAATTTTAATCTTAGTGTCCTTTCACTGGGTAAAAGTTAAGTTTTTAAAACCAAGAAGATAATGTTCCAACCAGATCACCTTTCTGCTCTGCCTTCCCTCAGCATGCCACTCAAACCTCATTATCCCTGCCTTGCTCAACTTCCAAGAACAAGAGTGAAGCATGGTCTGCAGTCCCCACCCATAGCAGTGCATTCTGTACCAGCAGGAGAACATGTGGCTGCCAAGGAGAGTGCTGGTGAGCAAAGGAAGGTCAGCCTTTTTCACTCGACTCTTCAAAGCATGCAGAAAGCACTGCTGTAGTAGTTCATCCATTTGCTCTGTAAGGAAAAGACAAGAACACCTTTCCTGAGGCATGCACTTTTACCTGCTGAGCCATCTCACTGGCTCCTTTCCGGACTCTTGAGCACTGATTCTGTAAGGGTTAGCCCTACAGAAAGGGTCAAACCACAAAGTCCCACAAAGTCAGGAACATTCGCCAAGAGAAGTAAAAACCAGAAGCCTAGGGGGCTCTATAGCTGGAAACTATCCTAAGTGCCAGACAGATAGGCACTTGAGGGAAGGACTACAAGCCTCATGGAAAATAAGGGTTCTGCCCAGAGAGTCAATACCACTCTGATCTGAAGGATCAGAGCCATACCTTGAAGTGGCTTGCTGTCCAAAGAATCCTGGCTCACGGCCCTGGAGCTAGTATCTTCAGAGGCTTCTGGAAAGCTGTGCTCCCCAAACACCTGATGAACCTTCCCATTCTCCTCCTTTCCCTCTAGAGATAGGCTTCTCAGGTCTCCATGCAGAGCAAGGTCCACCTTCTCTTCATTGAGATCTGTGGAATCCACTGCCAGTGGGGCAATGGCAGGTGGGGAGGACTTGTCTCCAGAGTGCCTGGAAAAATCTGATGTCAGATACACCAAGTAGTAGCTACAACATTCACCCACCCTGGCCAGGGAAGATTCAGTCAGGAGTTCAAAACTAGTAAGAGCCAGGAAACTAGTAAGAGACAGGAATGTCTAGGAGAGTAGAGCCCTGTGCACCCATCTCAACTCTATTCAATTATTTCTGGGCCTATGCCTCAGTTCTGTCATCTCTAAAATGGTAACCTATGCTTATCTCCTCCCTATCCCAAGGCAATGATTATTTACTTACATTATTAAGAGACAGCCCAAGACAGAGATTAAAGGAAAAGTGGATCCAGGGCCTGCCTGTCCTCTATAGAGAGTTCAAGGCCAGCTTGAGCTACAGAATAGGATCTTGCTTCAAAAAAACCAAGAGTTGCTGGGCATGGTGGTGCAGGCCTTTAGTGCCAGCACTGGAGAGGCAGAGGTAGGTGGATCCCTGTGAGCTCAAGGCCAGCCTGGTCTACATAGCGAGTTCCAGGCCAGTTGGGGCTCACAAAAAGACCAAAACCAAACACCCAAGACTTCAATGGCAAAGTGCTTACACAAGTAAGGTTCTGGCTGAATCCCCAATATAACAATTGAAGAAAAAGGAAAAGCAGCTTAAAATAAACCACTGAAAATGTTTCCTCTGTATAAGCAGAAACTAATAAACCATCTTGAATCAAATATCATGATTAAGAACCAGGTGTGGGCTGGGCATGGTGGCACATGACTTTAGTCCCAGCACCTGGGAGTCAGAGGCAGGCGGATCTTTGTGAGTTCAAGGCCAGCCTGGTCTACATAGTGAGTTCAGGTCTGCTAGGATTACAGGGAGACCCTGTCTCAAAAAGACAAAAATAAATAAATAAATAAAATAAAAAAAGAACCAGGTGTGGTGGTAAATGCCTGTAATTCCAGTACTTCAGTACTTCAGAAACAGAGGCAGGATGAGCAGGACTTCAAGCACCCTTGGCTACATAGCAAGTTTGAAGCTAGCCTGAGCTACATGTCTTAAGACAAAGAAATACGATTGAAAATGTATCTGTTGTGCCAGTTGTTTCAATCCGATGAACTACAAACACAGGGCTCATCCTATTTAACAAACTACAAATAGCTGGGTTATATAAGGGCTGCAAAACAAGTGGGTCCTGTGTTAAAGTAAGCACAATCTAATGTGCAGAGTCAAGATTAGTATGGTTGACTCCCCAATTTTAAGAAGACAGGAAAAAAAGTGATTCCACATAGCAGAGCACACAGAAAAGTAAAAAGCTTTAGTTTAGCCAAGATTTTTAAATCAAAATAAGCTTTACCTAATAGCTCCAGCAAGCTTTATTAATATTCTTAATAGTATGTTCAGGCTATCCAGATCAGGTAAATAAAAACAAAAATTTTTTTTTTTTTTGTCTTTTTGAAGCAGGGTCTCCCTGTAGCCCCAGCTGTCCTAGAACTTACTATGTAGACCAGGCTGGCCTTGAACTCACAGAGATCCGCCTACCTCTGCCTCCCTGGTGCTGGGACTACAGACATGTGCCACCACGCCTGGCAATAAAAATGTTTTTTAACTTGGGGTTGGCAGTTGAGGCAGCTGCTGCTAAGACAACTTAAGACAATCTTAATTATTGTTGGCAGACTGAGAGCTAGAAAACACGGTGCTAAGTCGGCAGGAGTCATGTGTGCTCTAATATCTGCCGAGAGGACAAACTGATAAAGCTGTATCTCCAGCAAAGGATGCCTAGACCAAAGCCTGCAGAAGCTAGTAACTCCAAGACTGGGCTAGAATATATAAAAAAGATGAATCCACACCAACACTTGGCTAACGGACCAGCTGTAGAGAGCCAGGCTTGGTGGCACTTGCCTATAATCCTAACACTCAGGAAGCTCTGTCAAGAGGATCTCAAGTTCCAGGCCACCTGAACTACATAAGACCCTTCTACTACCTCCCTTCACCCCCCCAAAAAAACCCCAGCTATATTGCTTTTGAGAATAACACTATTTACTGTTTCAGTAAAATAATATTAACCAAAAAAGGAAGAGGTATATGGCTCTGGAAATGGATTGTTATAGTCAGAATGTGTTACCTCCATAATGAGGACTCTGAGACATCATAGTTGAAAAACACACAAAAAGTAACCAGTTATCATCCTGGTGTCAGACAACTGACAGGGATTCAGAAGCACTTGTTTTAGGACCAACTGATGCCCCAAATGTGCACAGCAGATATGGTCAGAATGCCCAGAGCTATATGAACATCATCATAGTGAAGGGCAGAACAGACAATTCCTAGATCTAGGGCAAGTGTCTAGGACAATTCCAGATTTAGGATTCTAGCATTTACCTAGAAAATAGCCAAAGTTGTCTCTAATTTCTTATCTGGACAAGGAAAAATGAAAAACAAAACAAAAACATTCTTTTCCCCACTTTTGGCAAAGAAATGGAAGTTTGGGGCCTGAACTTGTACAAGAATGTGCCTGTGACTAGTACCTGTGCTTCTGAATCTCAGGCCCCATGTTCTCTCCACCCCCCCCCATTCCCTATAAACAGAGGAAACACTGCACCCACCACAAGTGGTCCTGGTATGTGTGGAGCACAGAGAAGCCCCTTCCCTTCAGGCCTGAAGTCAGCATCTGAGCTGTGGACATGGCGGCCACGGCAACTGCTACAGGAGCTCTAGGAAGGAAGCCAGAGACAAGGCTCAGGCAAAGTCTTTGTGTTTTCAGAACTGTCTATACAGTGACTCTTCATTAATTTTTTAAAAGCAGTAGGAACTGGAAGTGCAGCTCAGTGGTAAAGTACTTGCCTACCATGTATAAGGCCTGGGATCAAAAAGAAGCCACAGATGGTGGCTCAATAATTGTAAATATACCAAAAGCCACCTGATTGTATATTTAAAACAGACAAACTCTTATGTGTGTGGTGGCACACACCTTTAATCCCAGGACTTGGGAGGCCGAGGCGGATCTCTGTGACTTCAAAGCCAGCTGGATCTACATAGTGAGTTCCAGGCCAGCTCACTGTCTCAAAAATACCAAAATAAATATATAAATAAAAAATAAATAAATAGACAAACTTTATTGTATATAAACTATATTTCATTAAAGCTATTAAAAGTAAATGATGCAGATGATGCACTGGTGTGTGTGTGTGTAGGTGGTAAAAGACAAAGAAAGATCAAGAGAATGGCACAGACAGAGGGAGGCTTGGAGAAAAGACAACTAAATGCAAGGATTCTAGACTGAATCCTTAAATGGAAAGGAGATACTTGTTTAACAACTGGGGAGAAGCCAGGTGTGGTGGCACATGTCTTTAATCCCAGCACTTGGGAGGAAGAGGCAGGTAGATCTCTGTGAGTTTGGAACCAGCCTGGTCTACATAGCAAGTTCCAGGCCAGCTGAGGCTACAGGAGATCCTGTCTCAAAAAGACAAAAAAACAAACAAAAAGACCAAAAAAAAAAAGCCAACCTGGGAGATACAAATAAAGGCTTCAGTTTAGTTCACAGCATTGTCCCAACATTAATGCTTTAGCTGTGATAACTACATGGGTTATATAAGATGTTGCCTTTAGAGAACACTGGTAACTATGCTGTGTATCAGAACTCTGCACTATCTTTGACATTCTTCTGTAAACCTAAAATTATCTTTAAAATGCTTTTTCTGTTTTTGTTTTTTTTTTTTAATGCAGCAGAACCAGGCATGGTGGCATATGTCTTTAACCCCAGGACTCAGGAGGCAGAGGAAGATGCTCTGTGAGTCTGAGACCAGCCTGGCCTACATAGCAAGTCCCAGGCCAGTCAGTGCTATATGGTAAGACCCTGCCTCAAAAAAGGAAGGGAGGGAGGGAGGGAGGGAACAGAAAAGAAAAGAAGGAAAAAGAAAAGCATCAGCAGCTTATGTCCAGATGTGTAGACACTCCACAACCTCACTGCTACCCTGCAGTGGGCCACTATCTGCTTCTTCCAGAAGAACCCGCTTTTTCTTCAATCTTTAGTCCGTATGCTTTAGAAGTTGTCATTTTTCTCCAGCTCCCTTTTATCTATGTTCCTCTGCCCCCCAAAAGGCACAGCTGCCTGACACAGTACCTGTTCCCCACCAAGGCAATGGCACAGAGGTCACCTTTCTGTACCTGAGGCAGACCAGCAGGGGGCACCACTAGTCCTGGCAGCATCAAATCTGCAGTAAATGAAAGCATTATGGCTTACTTTCTGTTCCCATTTCATTTTCATGTTTTACTTCATCATATACCCATTCCCCGGACAAGGAAACATTTATTAGGTATCAACTATGTTATTCACAATGAAAATGGAAACCCGAGTATCAGCCCTCCCTTTGTAGAGCTCACAAACAGGATCATTAGGTTGAGCATCCTATACCCATGATCTATTTGTGCAGCTTACAAAGTGCTTTCATGTTATTTATAAAAGGCTTGCAACAGTCAGAGATCTAGAGAACTTATAGAATGAGCCAAGTGGGAGGAGGAATCACACATATACATAAAGGGGTGGGGGCATACATTTTTTTCAGCATATGAACATAGGAAATGAGTAACTGTATTAAGTCAGTTGATGATTACTGAGATGTCAGGCAACTGTTGGAATATAGGAAAATCCTCTTACCTGCTCCCCTCACCAGTTTTTCGAGTACAAGAGGCCATGTTGTAAAGGCTGGTAGAAGATCAGGATAGGACCACAGTGTGTACACTGTACAAAAACAGACCCAGAGAACACTTATTACCAAACAGTCAATCTGCTAGGGAACTGGAAACGCCTAATATTATGCTCATTTTAATTAAAATTCAGAAAAAAACAAAAACATGAACACACAGCTCAGAGTTACAGAGGTTAGAAGAAGCTTCCCAGAGAGTTCATTCATGATGAAAGCAGGCACCTAGAACTAGTGACACCTAGAAACTGGGTAGCACTTGAGACTTGGAGGCACTGGTTGCTGCATTGGGAATGTCAGCAGAAAATGGCCACGGTGGACTAAAAGGACAGAAACCCTTCTACTTATGACTTCAGAAGCAAATGACCTGTTGTTACAGGGAGCCAATCTGTAATTCATTTTGAAACTTTCTCATACTTATCATTTATAGTGCCTATTTCCATAGTGATTACCAGTAAAACTCTTGGGGGGTGGGGAGGTCTGTGTCACTTCAGGAACAGCAGTGAAGTGGGGAGAAAGGTAGGAGCGGCTAAAGAAACTGCACTGCACTACTGCAGCCTTCAAGAAAAAGCCCCAACTAAGTAGTGTCAGCTGCGATGGAAAAGAGACAAGTCCAAGTTCCTGAGATGTGTGACAGAGAAAGTTGAGACTCTTAGACAATGAATCAGAGCCTAAGAAAAACCACTGTAAAGCATCCCAGTTAAAGTGTCTAACTAACACAGCTGGGTAGGTGGCAAAGTGTCTAACACAGCTGGGTAGGTGGCTTCATTAATTCAGCTTATTTCCCAGTATATTCTCTCTCTTCAGTGTCTTAAGAAGAGCTATTTACAGTTTACAGGCCCTGAAATTCCATCCTTTGCAACATCTCTGCCCTATCCCTAGTTAACCCACTCAGCACTGCTCCGTTCTCAGAACTTCTCTTTGTAATTGTTTTTGGTTTTGTTTAACTTCTCTGTTAGTTGTTTTTGTTTTTCTCTTTTCCTCCCATCTATAGCAGTGTCTGGTCGTGAAAAGTCTAGGTTTAGGAACACTAGGTATGTAAAGATCCTTAGGGATAGTATAGGGAGATTTTGCGATTATTTCATCTATGGTAGGCAAGTTAATGTAGGAAAAAACTAGAGAGAAGCAAGTGTTAGACAAGGACTGCAGTACTGGCCATCGCCATCCTGCTGCCATACCTGTTGGATATAGATTTTTCTCCAGTTCAAATAAGATGGGGTTACCACCACTCATGTACACAGTCACTGCATCCCCTTTGTGAGCATACAACTTCACAACGTTTAGCTCCTCCTTTCCAGGTATTAACTTAGAGACCTGATCTGTTCCAAGGGTGGGAAAAGCAACTGTCACATCTGCCCGAAGCTTTCTCCTGCAGGAAGCACACCAGCACCATGAATACTATCTAGATGGACTTTAATAAACATAGAAATTCAGAATGACTCACTGTAAAATCAAGGAAAGACTGCTTGGTTTATGATGCCCTGTTCTCAGTCTTCCAAAATCCTCTTCTCTCTTTCATTTATTGTCTCATTTATTTTCATATATGTTCCTGGGCATGTCTTTCCATTTTACAGATGGGAACACAGATGCTCAGTAAATAAAGCTGGTTTTACATAGGAAACCCAGCCATCCTGACTTCATATGCCTTTTTCATAGACCCACTCCTTTCTCATATTGGTTGGCAAATCTACCAGCTTATTAAAGAACTATAACTATACCATGGCACCAAGAATGAAACCTATAGAAGGCTGGTTCCAAAATTCCTGAGAAGGTATACATATCTACAACACCGAATAGATACATTTCTCTTTACCACATGTGCCTTATTCCCTCCCACCTCACTCCAATGGTCTCTCAGGCCAGAAGTAATCTTTAGACACTTTTCCTCCTACGTTTTTAGTTGTTGGTACCCATCTGATTCCCAACCCGCCCCCGGGGCCCTAAACTCCGTGGAGGGCAGGGCCTTTGTAGTCCCTCATTTTTACATCTTCCACAAACTCTAATTAGTCTGAGGCCAGTAAACGCTGAATTTTAGTTCTTGTCCAAAAGACCACCTAGAAGATAAAACAGACACACACGCACACCCCAACCTCATCCTCCAACTGTATCTAACCTCCCTGCACTGGGCCCTGGGTTTTCCTCTCAGTATGCACCCCTAGACATCTAGGGGCTTCGTGGGGCAAAGTAAGAGCATCCGCTCCCTCACCTGTCCGACCCCTTGATGGCCGTGCTGGACTTGACCCGAAAGGTCTTGGCGAACATGTCCGCTGGAGGAGCCCGGGAAAGACAAGAAGAGCACAGACGCCAGGAACCGTTAGCAAGCCGACGGTGTGTCGCTCTCCAGGCTCTCAGGCGTGGGGGCAGCCATGCTGAAGACCCGGCGTCAAAAAACGACCCGTCTGGAAACCCGAGTGCGCAGCTTAGCAGCTGCTGCCGTGGTCGTCACAGACGAGTCCCGGAACTGACGTGAGGTGGGGCGGGACCCGTGGCTCCTTCCGGGCCGTGATCGCGCCAATCGCGGCCTAGTTCCGGTCCTTCTACGCCCACCTACTTTGGATTCAGCGCTGAGCAGCACCTGTAAATTTGCAGTCCATTCCGTTCAACTCCGCAAAATTAATTGAATTCATATTGTATTAAATTTGCAGACTTCTTGAATGCTTTTTCAAATACTTTTATTCTTTTTTTTTTTTTTTTTGAGACAGGGACTTCCTGTAGCGCCAGCTGTCCTGGAACTCACTATGTAGACCAGACTGGGCTTAAACTCAGAGATTCGCCTGCCTCTGCCTCTGCCTCTGCCTCTGCCTCCCGAGTCTTGGGCCTAAAGGCGTGCGCCACCATGCCCGGCTTATTCATATTTTTAATTACATTGCAAACTAAAGGTTTCACCTAGGATTTTCTCCTTAATACTTATTTTACACGTGGGATAACAATTAGAAGAAATCCGTACCTGACCCAAGTTTGCCCCAGGCGACTAGTCACACAGGCCAAGGACAGAGATGAGGTTTCCCTGAGAAACAGCTATTCTGGAGTCAAGGATTTAAACACCTGGGATCCCATCTTTTCAACCAAGTTTTGCATATTAGGACTTAAGAGCAGAGTGTCCATCAATAATAATAATCCCAGTTGCTTGACACAGTTTTACAAAGGGGGATTCCTCACCAGCTGTTCAAAGATAAGTACCTGAAAGGGCTGGAGAGATGGCTCAGCGGTTAAGAGCACTGACTGGTCTTCCAGAACTCACATTTGGTTCTCAGCACCCACATGGTGGCTATCAACCATCTGGTAACCCCAGTTCCAGGGGATCCAACACTCTCTTCTGACTCCGTGGGCATTGCAGGACATAGGTGCACCTACCTACATGCAAACAATACACTCATACACATAAAATAAAAATAAATAATAATAAAGATAAGTGTCTGGCAATCTCTACCCATCACCCACTGGGGCCTAGGAGCTAGCCCCAACTTCTGTACTTCTTACCTCCATCCCATCCCCAGCTTTATTTTAAAACACCCCACTCACAAGCAAAACGCAGAACAGCCTAGACAAGGGCATTCCCTACAGACTTATTAAGCCCCTATATAACCATACTTAGGATATGCCACCAAGTGTTTGTGGTCTGGGGAACTAAGAAAAGTTACAGGGGAATACTAGATTTTTCAAGCTAGGCAAAGCATTATACAAGACATGTCCTGGATAAGATATCAGTTACCAGTCTAAGAATTAATTAGTGGTGAAGGAATAGGAGCCAAGTCCCAGAGGTTAGGTGTGCTCCCAAAGGACTCCCAGACTATCACCTACTCTTGGATTAAGGTTGCAGAGTTGCAGCAAGGTGAAAGGCCACTTACAGGGGAAAAAGCTGCCTCTGTTTTGGCTGGTGTTGTTTTGTTTTGGTAGTACTAGAATCAAACTTAGAGCCTCTCACATGCTAGGTGGGTGCTTGACCACTGAGCTATATCTCCAGCTATTTATTTATTAATTATGTGTATGTTTATTTGTTCATTTTTAGGTAAGGTCTCACTATTGACCAGATTAATCTTGAACTCACTTTATAGCCCAGGGAGGCCTTGAATTTGTGATCCTCCTGCCTCAGCTCCAATGTAGCTGGGATTAGAGTCCTATACTACCAGGAGTGAAATCTGTTTTTCACTGAGGGAAGAGGAGAACAGATAATTTTCACTAATTCACCAATTATACTTGGCAGGAACATAGCTGTAAGATAAATGATATTTGGGGACTGGAGACATGGCTCATTGGTTAAGAGCATTAGCTGCTCTTGCAGAGGATACAGGTTTGTTTCCCAGCACCCACATTGTGGCTAACAACTGTTCATAACTCCAGTTCCAAGGGACCTGATGCTCTCTTCTGGCCTCCATGGGCACTGCATGCATGTAGTGCAATTACATACATGCAGGCAAAACACTCTATAAACTAAAAATAAATAATTAAAAATTTTAAACAGAGCAAAGGATATTTTGAAGGGTGGACCAGAAGAGAGATGCCCTCTTCTTTAGTCATCCTCTCCTTTTCCTTCCCAATGAATCCAGATGAAGAGAATACAATTGATTGAATACAGTGAAACTTATTGGACATTTCCTATCAAGGCACTATGTTTATTAAGTTGAGGGCCAAATAAAGATGCTTGTCATGCAAGCCTGGCCACCTGAATTTGATTCCTGAAACTGAAATAAAGGTGGAAGGAGACAACCAACAACCAGAAAGTTGTACTCTGGCCTCCACACATGCACCGTGGCATATGCATCCATGCCCACATATATCATACATACAAACACAATAAATTTTTTAAAAAATGTTAACATGTATGAGTGTTTTACCTGCATGTATGTAAATGCACCTATGTGTGCAATACTTGTGGAGGTCAGAAGAGAGCATCAGATCTGGAACTGGGGTTATGTCCAGTTAGCTGCCATGTAGGTGCTGGGAACTGATCCTAAGTCCTCTCCAAGAGCAGTCAGTGCTCTTAAACACTGAGCCATCTTTCCAACTCCTTAAAAATAAAATTTTGTGCCAAGCATGATGGCACATGCCTTTAGTCCCAGCACTTGGGAGGCAGAGGCAGGTGGATCTCTGTAAGTTCAAGGCCAGCCTGGTCTACTTAGTGAGTTCCAGGCCAGCTGGGGCTACAGGGAGACTTTGTCTCAAACACACACGCACACACACACACACACACACACACACACACACACACAAGGATGAATTGGGACACAGTCTGACAAGTGGCATGCATGTCCTCTTGAAATCAATAGTACTAAAGCTAAATAGTCCAGAATATAGCTCATTTGGACTCTGAGCTATTTACTCCTTCACCAGCCTTCTTAATCCTTCTAGTTAATCTCTCACCCAAATTCCCTGAAAATATAGATCATTGTCATTTGCCTTTCAGGTGGGACCTATGGTTTGAGAAGTCTTTGAAGGACCCTGAGGACTTTCAGGATGAATAAATATTTTCATAGCTTCAGAAAGTGTATTCATGAGGCCTGGAGGTGTGGTTCAGAGTTAGAGCACCCGCCTAGTATATATGAGGATGATAGGTTCAATGAAAGAAGGAAACAAAACAGAGAGTCATTATGTTCTCCTCCATGATTCAGAACACAGGGATTTTCACTTTTCTGAACACCCTGATGTTCACTCTCTTTTTCACTTTCCCTGATGATTAGCTTTAATGGACACGTTGACACAACCTATTATCACCTTGGGAAGACAATCTCAATGAGGGATTCTCTACATTGGATTGGTCTATGAGTGTATCTGTGAGGAATTGTCTTAACTTAATTGACTTGGGAAGACCCAGTCCACTGTAGGCAGTACTATTCCCTAGGCAAGGGTTCCTGAACCCTTGAGTGGAAAAATCTTAACTGAGCACAAGCAAGCAGCAAGCATGCATTTCTTTCCCTGTGTTCTTCACTGTGGTGCAAGCAGCTGATACTGTGGTATGCCCCTACTGGATGTGGATGTAATTTGGATGTGTGAGCTAAAAATAAACCCTTTAAGTAAGTTGCTTTTTTGTCAGGACATTTTATCACAGCAATAGAAATGCAACTAGAATAACTTCACACCAGTGCTGTGGCCAGTTACTGTTATCCTCAATGTCAAGTGAGGAATCTGGAACACAAGGAGCTTTATTTACTTATCCAGGATCACACAGTTATTATGTATTATTTAGTCTGTGGGTGATGCTTTCTAAATGCTAGGAAAAGACTGATGCAATATATGGTGTCAGCACAAATACCTATCCATTTGGCAGGAGGCAAGTCTAATTGCTTCGTACATTTCATAAAAAGCAATTACAAATAGATAAAATGTCTAACTGTAAGAAATGTAGACCACTGAGCTAAACATGTTCTCACCATCTCATCCAGCACTCATACTCCTTGGTATTTACCCACATGAGTTGAAATTTATATCATACAAAAACCTGCTCACGGTTGTTTATTGAAGATTTTTGCAGAATTGACAAAACTTGAAAGTGACTAAGATGTCCTCCAGTAGGCCAATGGATGTGTTAGTTAGCCTTATATAGTTGTGGCAAAATACTTAAGAGAAAACTCACAGGAGAAAGATTTGTGTTGGCTCACAGTTTCAGATGTTTGTATGGTTTTTGTTTTGTTTTGTTTTGGTTTTTTTTCTTTTGGGTCTTTTTGAAACCGGGTTTCCCTAAAGCCCCAGCTAGCCTGGAACTCACTATGTAGACCAGACTGGCCTTGAACTCACAGAGATCTGCCTACCTCTGCCTCCCAAGTGCTGGGACTATAGGTGTGTACCACCATGCCCTGCTAGTTTCAGATGTTTTAATCCATAGTCACCTGACCTATCTCTTTTAGCCTGTGACAAGTACGTTATTGTGGAAATGCATAGTGGAACAAAATTGCTCATGTCATGGCACCCAGGAAGCAAAGAGAAGAAGCTTGTTTTTTGTTTTGTTTTGTTTTTCGGTCTTTTTTGAGACAGGGTCTCCCTGTAGCCCCAGCTGTCCTGGAACTCACTACGTAGACCAGGCTGGCCTTGAACTCACAGAGATCCACCTGCCTCTGTCTCCTGAGTGCTGGCATTAAAGGCATGCATCACCACCCCTGGTGCCCCTAAAATTTTTAAGAATTAAAGAAAGAAAACTGTACTCAAGGAAGTAAAGAGGCGTAGCCACACTTAGACATGATTTAGATGGTGAGGGTCTAGGTTTTTGACAGGTGAGCTTATTGCATTTTTAAATTTATTTATTGGGGTGGGGAGGTGTGTGTGTGTGTATCAGAGGATAACTTGTGATAGTTCTCTTCTTTTACCATATGGGTCCCAGGGATTGAACTCAGATTGTCAGGCTTGATGGCAAGTGTCTTTACCCACTGAGCAACCTCAACAGCTTCAAATGGCTTTAAATAAATAAGACTGTAGGAGACTTGGGGGAGGAATTAGTATGTTTTGTATGAAGTGGCAAAATGAATGAGGGAAGATGACA